TATTATACGGGCACAAGCTCTAAGGCGCTTGAGGTGTGGAAACACATCGTGGGGACCGGGTGCAGTGCTCATGTCCCATATCTTAATTCCATATTTTCTTTGATGAATAACATCAAAAACCAAATATGTATATGTAGAGCTTGACAATTGTTTTGTTTTTTTTTTGATATGTTGCGAACCTAGTGGCACCTGCTAGTTATTATTTTATTTTTTTCTTGCTTTACTTTCTTTGTGTTGTGTGATTTCCTTTTCATCTGTTAAACCTTGTGTTTTGTCTGAAAATCCAACATTATAACTTATGCTCTTTAAGGACCCTAATATTATAATTAACATTTCTACGAAAAATTCTCATAAAAGATTTAGATTAATCAAAATTTTTGGATTAAAATATTTCATGATTTTAAAACCTACACATTATATTTTTTTTGTGGTATTCAATCTAATTTTAAAATGCTTTGCATGGCATGGCTATCACCCAAGTCCAATTAATAGAGCCACATGCTTAGGACTAGATAACTGCATCATATTGCATATCCCGAGGAGAAGTCTCTGTGCTTCTTTAGCCCGATTGACTCATCATAATTTTTTTACTTAGATGGGTTTTCAACATGCTAAAGTGTTAGATGCTTCTCCAACCTAAATAGGGAGCAAGTCTTTTGTTGAGAGTGTTTTCAACGCTATAGCTAAACCTCTTTTTTTCTTCCTTTTGGTGACATCTTTATCATTTATTTGGTGGGTATAAATTCCACCTCTGTAAGCTCTATTTTTATGGGTGGGGTCATAAGACTTAATGTTTTCTTCTTTTGATCTTAGGGCTACCAAGATTTTCTTGGATAATGTAATTCACTAATTGCTAATAAGGGATTTCTGGTTGTGTTAGGTTGACTACCTTCACAACCAAGTAGGCTTAGAGTCTTAATAGCTTGGGATGACAGATCTATGGTATTTTGGTTTGTTTATCTCTACTAAATTAGTATCACTCTACCTCTCTATTGTTGAGCCCATTTGAGCCATGCCAAATTTTTGTGTTTTGTTGTCTTCTTGTAGGCCCAAATTGTGGATAGGCCGCCACCCATTTGGCATGGGCTGATTCACCTTGTGCCCTCATGACCCGGTTAGGCCCTTGAAGCATAGTGGGAACTTATGAGTGGCTTGTTTATTTTGTAGGCCTCGTATATTGATGAGCTGCTACTTATTTGGGATGTGAGATACTCACTCCTACCCCATAGCTTAGCGTTTGAAAGCATTGGGATATTCCTATGAAATAATCATCCTTTTTGGTGACCAATTTACCGGTCATAATAATGTAAGCAAGTCTTCTTTTTTGAGAGTATTCTTGGATATTCTGCTAGATGTAATTAACCAAAAGGATATGTTCCCTTGAAAGTGCTCTTAATCCTAGAACAAAAATAATCTTTTTTGTTCTTCGATTATGGGTGACTTATGTAAGGATTTTCTTAGTGAAGAGTGTGTTTCAAGGTATTTCGATATAATCTTGTTTGAACGTATACTTTCAACCTATCACACCAGGATTACCTATGCATAAGCCATCCATGTTTCTTTTTAAAATTTATTTATCTATTTCTATCATATATCCTATCTTCTTTGATTCTTCTCCTCTTCAGATTATTCTATGATCTGAGATGGAGATTTATTTGGAAAGGGGAATGATATGACGACGATTGACGACATACATATAGATAAGATGGATACTTAAGTTTTTTAAAAAGAACCAAAAACACACTTAAAGCCTTAGTTTCTACCCCAATCCAGATAGAAGCGTAATTCCATATTAAGTATTTTCAATTCTTATGATTGAGTTACATTCTTTAATCCTTCTCATGTAAATCTTATCATTTTTATGATGAGAATAAGCTCCATTCTTCCATATATTTCACCATCTAATGTCAATAGAATTTTGGGGTAGTCACTTATTTTGTATTACTATCAATATAACTCTCTTGGAAGATGTATTATATAGAATGATAACAATAAGTTCCTAATTGCATTAGGTCGACTACCTTCATGGTAAATAAACTCAAATTTTGATAACCAAATATGATAAATCCATTAAATCCTTACTAGGTTATGTCTACCTATGTAGAAATGACTTACATATCATTTAACCCACTCCAATCCATTTCTTCATTCCTTTGATATATTTGCTTGATATAATCTTGTAGGCTCTTGCCAGTTGATAGGGCTCTGTATATTAGAATATGGAGATTCATCCTCTACCTGGTGAGCCAGTTTATTCCTAAAGCACATGTAACCCCAACTGAGATGCTTTTATATTCTTTGATGAACCTACGATAGATGATTGAACATAAACAAAGCTTCTTTAATAAAAATTTTGCTTGGGTATCACCAAAAATATAATTAATTAAAAAGAATATGTTCCATTGAGAGTTCTCTTGTACCCATAGTTAAATGAAATTATAATTATCTAGTAATGGGTGAATATTATTTATAGTTCTTCTTTTTTGAGTTGTATGCAGCAAGTTAGTTTGAAATTATTTTGGACTTTTGTCTCCAATCCATTTCATAAAGACCACACTATGAATACACTTTCCCTTTCGTGTTTGTAATATTTATATTTTTTACATATTCCATCTACTCATCCTTACCTTGATCATTATAGAGAAGAGGCCATTAAGAGAGGACATATAAAACAACCATTAATTATAACGAAAAGGGACACAAATAACCTGCTCAGATGAAAAGCCCATCTTTAATCCTTTACTTGGAACACCAAGCCTAGCTTTTATCTCGTCATTCTTTCAACACTATCCAAAATTTGAGTTCTTCTAATTTTAATCCAAATAAACTTTTTGACAACATTGAAGCCACCGACATGCACTCATCTAGTTGCAAAGTTTGAATGACAAAAGTAGAGAATAAGGAAAAAGAACATGAAAGACCTTGTGAAAATTTTTCTCGTGAATATGTGAGTTAATTTATAGAATATTGAACTAAAATAAAGTGGATAAAATGGTAAGAGGTTATATTTATGAATATAATATTATAATCTATTCTCTTTAAGTTTCATTATCTAGTTTTTATTTACACTAATGAAGGTCAATAAATTTAGCAACGAGTTTCTTGGAAGACTAGAAAATCCATTGATGCTGGCAAAAAAAAAAACAAAAGAAATGCTTAAATGAACCCACCAAATAGAATGAATACAATTATGACTTGTACTCCCCAAGAAAAATATGCATCGCATTGTTTTATTCTTTTCACTTTTGCCTTCAAAAGTTTGAAGAGAATAAGAGAACAAATTGTGAATCCAAATGGCGGGCTTAATAAAAATGAGGAAGATGAGGCAAACTCACCAATCATGTTCTATGAAGAGACTCATTGGTCAATCACGAGATAAACTTGCCATGTTGGGTTCAATTTAAATGCACTCAATAGCTTGATCTAAGGAGTACACAATTATCCAAGTTTAAGGCATGTACCCGCCAAAACTAAGTGAACACACATACGAAGTAGTGAGAAGAGAATCTATGAGGCTTATGGATTTACTTGTCCAATGCAATCACAAAACTTGTTTGATTAAATAAATCCAATGACTTTTCTATATGACAGATACTACTCAAAGTGACAGGCTATACTTCGGGCACTACTTAGAAATAGGATAATATAGAGGGTTGCAATGTTTAACTTTTATATCTTTTACCTATTATATTCTTGAGTTTTTTTATTGATTTTTTTCTCTACTTGTATCCCCCTTAGGTTGTCCAGTTCCATGTAATTTATTATAGTTCTAGCATAATATACAGGCAAAACAAGATTAAGCATGTCTAGTTATATAAAATGTTTAGAATCACGTCATATTTATAATAATTCAAAAATCAACTTACTTTGAATTTTTTTTTAATGTTTTACACTTTTTGTTTGGCCTTTTAAACGCCTTATAAAAAAATTGTTGATTTATTGATGCAATTCTATCTAAAAGTACTGAAGATAAAAGATAACCAGTAAAGGCAGGATGAGAAAACCAGGCCTTCTAAAGTTTAAGGAAGAAAAAATAAAGACAGTAGGTGGCTATTGAAGCTTAACCAACTCAACTGTTACTGGAGAGAAGTGTTTAATATATGTTTGTTAAATTTCAGTACTTCTCAAAAGTAGAAAGCATGAAAAACTAGAGTTTGGTAAAATTTATTCATGCTAACAATTCTTATTGTGCACCACACTGTTGAACTACTCATTAATGTAACCAGCGCTGTATTTGCAACCAAAATAAGCAAAAAAGAAATATCTATAGGTCAAGGCGAATCATTGTGCAAAATGAGGTGGTAAAAAATTGTTTGGTCAAAAAGAAATCATTTCGTTATGTGTCCGTTTGGGGTAGCTTATTTGGTGCGGTGACATTTTGAAAACGCACCTGGCTGTTTTGGTAAACTGCGTTTTGGCAGCTTATGCGTTTTCAAAACGCTGAAAACAGCGTTTTTCACACCGCACCTGTCTAGGTGCGGTGACAGCTTTCTGGCTACGGTCTGGCTTCTCCAAAAAAATAAATATTTGTAATAGCTACCGCACCTAAATCATTGTGCAAAATGAGGTGGTAAGAAATTGTTTGGTCAAAAAGAAATCATTTCCTTATGTCTAAATCACCTAAACTTGTATTTAAATAAAGGGATTTGGCAGTTTTATGGTTTCTAGTCTTCAATCTTTTTATGAACACTTTGATGCATTTTAACAATTGCCCAATTTTGCTTTTAGCATTTTACCACAAGGCTGTATGGCATCTTTCAGTGATATGATTATATTTTATTCCCTCTTTCCTTTACCGAGCTATGTTTTATTCAGAAAAAGGAGCAAAGTTATAATGTTAAATTTGTCATGGAAACCTTAGTTTCTGCAACATGTAAATTCTAGTGCAGCCATTACACAAAATTAAATAAAACATGTAATCTTCAAAAGAAAAATATTCTACCACCAACATACAATGTTTTTACTACTTTCAATAGCATCCTTAAATGGTTAATGTGTCATAAAAAAAGTTTGATATTGATGAGTTTTTCTTTTGTTAAACTGAGTCTCATTTAGAATTGATGACCTTTTCTTCCATCCATATCAGTCGCTTTAGTGCTACCCTTTCTCTTTCTCATCTTTCTCTTGATATTTAATTCTCAGAGTCAACATCTTCTCTTTAGTTTTCCATGTTGCTGGAACTCTTCTTCATTGGAAAAGTGCTTCCAAGAATAAGATTAGGAATAAAGAGGTATCAATAATGCTTGACGAGGAGATCATTTCGGGAGGTTCTTCTCCATCACCAGTGTCATATTCTTGAGGTTCTTCTCCGTTATCGATAACTTCTGATGGTTCTCCATGCATTGGTTGGACTGTTGAGGAATCATCTGATCTTTTCCCTCTACCAATTGTAGAAAAGGAGTTGTCATTTATTGGAAGTTCTGAGTGAGTTCTCATAATTTGAATCAAAGGAAAAATATTGAAATTGCCCATGTTCTTTGCTTTCAACGTAGCTTTGCTCTAAAATAAATATATTTTTGCTCTGACTAAAAAAGTTATGTAATTCGTAAAAAAATTTAGAAAGTAGAAAATTGTGTTGTTTTGAGAAAATGTGATTTGACTAAATCATATTAGAAGTTTGAGCCTAAAAAATGACATGTTAAGAAGGCAGAGAATGTGCCATGATGCTTGGCATCATAAAAAAAACATGGTAAAAAAATCAGACACTCTTACAGGGCTGAGCTTTTGAAGAATATAGGTTAGTATTTTTTTTTGAGACAATATGAGACAATGCAACCTAACCAGTGGAGAAATATTGCCAAAAATTTGCTTTAAATAGGTGCCACATATAGGATTACCAGTTTTACAACTGGTCAATTCAACTAATTCAAGCCATCTTAAAATTTCAGGGATTTGAAATACTTAGGATTTGTTTAGGATCACTTATATTTTTAGCTTTTGTTTATACTTTTATTTAAAAAGAAAATTTGTTTTATAAATTAACTTGTTTTAAAAGCATTCAAAACATAGTTATTTTGAGTGTTTTTAAAAATAATAAAATTTATTAAAATATATCCAATATATTTTATATCAAGTAAAAATATAAATAAAAAATAAAAATAGTGATCCCAAACAGGGGATGACTGCTATAAGAAGTTTTCAGTTCAATTAAACTTCTGTTCACCTTTGTGTGAAAGAAACTGCACGACATAATCAACTCTTATGAGGATGACCAGCATAAATCCTACCACATGAAATGTAAATGAGCTTACAAAAGAAATGAATAAGAACTGAGACCTGAGGCTAAGGAATAATGGCCATAGAGATGCAACGCTGGGATTTTATGATGACGACTCTACATAAAATGCCTTTGTTATGTTTCATAGAATTCACCTGTTATAGTTGGGACAGAATAAAATGATATACTCTTGTGCCTTGCAGGTGAAAGTACTCGTTCTGTCATCAAAAGCGTAGCTGTAGGCATTGGGGCATGCGTTCTTGAAGATGCTGGAGTAATTTGATGGCTTGCAGGTGCTTGGACTTGCAAATTTTCCGCTACAACAATATTGATCAAGTCCAAATGCATCACATGCACTCCTGCAGGCTACCACTCCACCTTCTCCGTTCTCATCAACATCGACCACCTGAAGCTCCTTCGGACAATCTGAGAATATCATGGAAGTCATGCTCGTACGCTCTTCTACGTTATGAAGGCATTTTTTTTCTCAGAAATTATTTTCTAGCACTCAAATAATAAATCCTGCTATTTAAATTTTATTAGAGAGGGGGATTTGCATACATACGGTCCAATTTCTTCCGGTTAGTCATATCTGTTATTTTGACCCTCAATTATTGAATTAAGATAAAATGGCACTTTTGTAATGTGGTACCGCTCACCTACCGCATCTCATCTACCTCCCACCTACCGCTCACATACCTCCCACCTACCGCTCTCTTGCTTCTATAAATAGAGAGGGTGTGAGGCTTAGGAGAGCAAGGGAAGAAATCTTAAGGGTGTGAGGCTTAGGAGAGGCAAGGGAGAAGAGATCTAAAGCTACCACAAATGAGGAGAGAATAGCTAGAGAGCTAGAAAAGAGGAGAGCATCTTAAGACATTGTATCAAGGTGTCGCTTGAGAGGGAGGCCATCGAAGGAAGATGAGGGCTCATCTCTATGTATAAGCTATGTATTCTCCATTTCTTTTGCCTTAGTGAAATATTTGATTGATTCCCTCCCGTGGACGTAGATCCAGTTGGATCGAACCACGTAAACGATCTGTGTTTGCTTGTGTTCTTTTTCGTCTCATTTCTATGCCAGGAAGTACATATCTCACAACAATTGTCACAGTCCAGTCTGTGGGAAGATCCATACTTCTTGGCTTGAGGTGTTCGCGTAAAGGTGTTCAAGGTGTTCGCGGCCAGCGACGAAGAAGAGGAGTTCGGCATTCATGAACAGAGGAGCAAATGGATCGCGCCGCAGGGAGCTGAATCGCGACCGATTCGGTGTGCA